AATGGTTACTGGTCCGAGTCACAGAATGTACATCAACAAGTCTGAGATGCAGGTATATCCATCTGACGAGTCTCAACTAGGACGAAACGCGCGTCAAACTGGATTCAACTGCTAGTTACTATCCATTTTTTCTTATTCATAACTTTGCCAAACTTATATATTTATGAACTTGACCATAAATAATATGAACACTCAGTGGAAGCATATAAACTCCATGTCAGTATATATATTAGTACACGGGTAAAATTACCCCACCATTTCATTTTCTTACAATTAAGAACATTGTACTAGATCGACTATTCAATCGTCTAAGATGTGATATGACAATTAAAATACCACTCCTTATCATTTATACCACCATTACCATCCTTATAAATTGTTCAGGTTTACAGTTAATCAATAATTTTCACTACTTCTCAATACTGTACTAAATGTTTAGAAGCAGATAGTTTTGTGTTTAACTATTAGTTTGTTGGAAGTAGTCTATCAGAAATCCTGCACCTAGGTTTTATGCACGTTGACACTTGTCAGCAAGATATATCGACAGTTTCGAGAAATCGAGAGGACCACAACTGACCTCATGTGGAGCTGAGATATTAACACTGACTGACCATTGAGTGTTGACCAGTATCATGTTTGTCCAGTCCTTAGTACAGATTGAATCCTATCTATTATTTTGTAATACAACCACTAGTCTAAGTTACTTATGAGATAAGTGTCCTACATTATCCAGTCTTACTGTTCAAGATGTTGTTATTGAGTCATTTAGACCACACTGCAAATTCATTTATAAAATTCCATTATCAATAAGAATTGGACAAACATGACATTGATCAACACTCAGTGATCAATCAATGTAAATGTTTTATTCAACCAAAAGTCATTTGTAGTTCAAATACCTCAGTTGTATTTTCTGTAGTACTTTTTAGAAATGATTCTCTCTAAGAAGTTGACTAACTTTTCTTCCTCCCTCTCTCCCTTTCTCTCTCTCTCTTCATCATACATCGATTTTCTTCTTATTCGAACATGAACATGATATCAAATTACATTATGTACTCTATATGATTTATCGTTTACCGAAGTGTAACATTCCAGATTTGATCACCATAGAAACTTTTTTTTTCTCTTCTCTATGTTATATGATAAGTTTGAATGAACTAGTTCTATTTAAATTTAAGAGTTGATTTCTTATCGGGTTTGACATAATGATTAAGTTTATATGATCAACTTTCATTATAAGTTTATGTTTATTAATTAGATAGAAACATTTGTGAAGATTGTAGTATTTAAACAGTTATCCATATCAAACAATAAATAAAGGTTTGTGCGAGATCATGGATCAATTAAAGATAAACATTAACACCGTTGAATACTGGATCAATGGTTCAGAAGTTAAGCGTTCGTGCGCGAAACCAAAGGTTCTGGGTTCGATTCCTTTTGGTGTGGGATCGTGGATGCGCACTGTTGAGGAGTCCTATATTGGGGGCGAAACGACTGTCTAGTTCTTCGAAGTTTTCAATGATGGTCTAGCTTAGATCAACTCGTGAATTCAACCGAGATTATAAATTTAAGAAAATAATGGTGGATTACAATTGAATTGAATAAATGACATAGTATATCATTTTATAACCAGTGGATTGAATTGATACTGGTTCCATTCAATAATCGAATTGATTGTCTAGCTAAGATTATTATGTGGTGAAATCGATGCAAACTCAACAATCTCCACGAAATCTGTTTACTAGTAATGATTCTGTATTTATTATTGACTAACTTCAAAATGTGATTCTAGGGGTTCTAGTGAAAGACCGTGACTATCGGAGCTTAACTATGCAAGATGTGAAATAATCATCCCTCGCACACAACTGAAGATAATTGCACAATACCAAGAATTTGTTTAAGTTCAACATAAATATCATTGAATCCCGGTTTAATGGTCTAAAGACCTGTATGTCATGGTCTCGATGCTCTATGGTATCATAGATGCTCAATCTTGAGGAGTCCCATATTGAGACAAAAAATCTGTCCGGCACTTCCTGATTTTCAATGGTTGTGTAGACTAAGATCACTTCATAATGTTAACTTTAAGAAATAGTAGTATACTTAGATAATATCAAGCTGAAATTACACAGCAAATCAATCAATCAGTGTAGCAACGTCAGGAGATGCAGTCCCATGTTAGTCGGTGACCAACAATAGGTTCACACGCCATTTGTTCCCTCAGGATTCTGGAGCATATGTTCACTATTGGGTTGGAATCATAGTTTTCCAACTCCCATAGGTGGATCCTCCGTATAAACCAACCCAGTTTAAGCACCGGACATTCTCTTTTCGTTCTCTGAATTTCCTAAAAAATACCGGCGGTGCGAGATGGCAGTGAGTAGGACTTCCCCGTCAGTGGTTGTATGCACGTGGCTATGTGAGAGCATTTGGAGAGGGTGGAGCTGATTCTCCCCATCCTCAGCTATACCAGAGCATTTGAAAAACTGTTATATTCTGTAAAGTTCCACAAGTATTATTTTGAACAATGAAAGTGATGATGTGTAATCTGTTTAACATGGATAAAGGAATATTTTATCAAGAAGAATTAATGACTTTAATTCATGTCTTTATTGAATATACTTTATATAATCCTTTGTAAATATTAACTTTTTCTTTTCATCTACCCAGCTAGTTAACTATCTACACAGTAGGAATTCTTTTTTTCTTCTTAATATTATGATCCATTATGTCAATCAGTTTACATCGTCTAAACAAGATTCTTTTAAAACCATATCCTATGCTTTTCTTCTTTATTTTAATATAAGAAAAAAGTTTCATACATAAACAATACAAGATTAATATGGGTTTGTCTGTCAGTAAACAACAACGTAGAGCTTCGTACGTTCATCCATCAGTTCAAGTTGCCATACCATATTGGCACAGTGATACAATCGTCGATTCAAATCCCATAGTGGTAGAGGTAGTAAGAGTATAAGCAGTAATCGGAAACATTAGGATTTGGAAATGTTATTCAAGGAGTATAATCTAGTGAAATAAATTTGGAAAGAGAAAAAAAGGGATACGAAGAATTCAGAAGATTAGAATTTGGGAGAGCACAAAGAGTGGATGTACCCGTACACACTATTGCAAACGATTTTGAATCATATCACTCAAGGTCTTTAACCATCGGTTGCTATCATCTCGCGGATCTCAACCAGGTAGTCTACACCTATCAACATGACTCAGTCCACTTGTCAGTGACTTCATGGGTTTGTGCCATATTTTGGTCTGGCCACCGCTAGCTTTCTTCCAACATACTCCTTCACCAGAAAACATCGCACGTCGAGGCAGTCGGTAGTTAGAGATACGTAACACAAGTCCCAGACATCACAGCCTATGTAGTCTCACTACTACATCAATTGATTTGCCATCCTTACCTAATACTTGTTTCTTAACAACTGTATTACTTACTCGGTGGTCCCAGGATATACGAGCAATGTTTTGAAGACACCTATGGTCGAATACTAGTAACCTATGAATATCCTCTACTCTTACCGGTCATGTTTCACTGCCATAAAGTAGAACGGAACGAACTGCTGCACAGTAAACCCGTCCTTTGGTTGGTAGACGTCTATTTCGCCTACGCCATAAAAGAAGCAAGTTGGCAAAAGCTAGTTGAGCCTTCTGTATGCGTGCTGAGATTTCGTTACAGACCAGACAACAAAGGCTGGTGATTTTGTAATTTCCCATTGTTAATATTCAAGTGATCAATGTATGTTGTTGTACATACATTCCAAATGGATGGCCTCTTCATACTCCTTAGTCCAAACTGACAGAATATTTGGTATATGGTTAGCAGGGAAATCCAGGATACATGTTTCATTCTATTTAAGACTCATCAACTAAATGCGTCTGTATCCTGAAGAAGACACATTATTAGTACTAATCTTTCTCACAAGCTATTCTGTCTGAATTATCTTAGTAGAAGTGTCTAAAGTTCCCACTTAGCCTAAAAACAAAACATAATAGATCCCTTGTTGAGTTATATAGATTGGTGGTCACATTGCAAACTTGATCGATCGAATTCGAACAACATTAAAGGAGTAATGTGAAATTGGTCACTACTCAGTAATCATCAATGGATGAGTTTATTATTTTATAGTAAGCTTATGTATATAATAAAAAAAAAGAAAAAAAACGTAAAAGTAAACATGATTAAACGTGATTTTAAGCATAAAAAAGTATTGTAAGATACAGTAGTTTATAGGTCATTTACTTGCTAATTGATGAAATTAAAATTCCACATATCAGACTTAATTCTTACCAACCATATAAAGAACAATTTTAATAGTTGTGATCATGAGTCAATTGAAGTTCGACCACCATCGAAAACCTGGAAGTACTGGACGGCGGTTTCGTTCTATTATGGAACTCATCAGCAGTGCTCATCCATAATCCTACCTCGCGAGATTCAAACCCAGGATCAGGATACTAATCAACATATGCTTACTAGCGACTGGCTTCATGAGTTATTTCCTGGAGTTCTAGTGAGAAGCAATGACCAGTGGAGTTCAACCGAGTGTGTTATGAAATAGTAACTTACTGAAGACAATGGTGAATTTGTCACTCAATTTCATGGATTAGTTGAAGTTAAACATTAACACCGTTGGATACCGTCAAGTTCAGTAGTCTAGAGGCTAAGCGTTCGCGCTTGAGACCGATAGATCCTGGGTTGGAATCTCACGAGGCGGGAACGTGGATGCACTCTGCCGAGGAGTCCCACAATAGGATGAAACGGCCATTCATTGCTTCCAGGTTTTCCATGATGGTCGAGCTTCAAATAACTCATGAATTTAACTATTAAAATTACTACAATATCCACAAAACCCCTTGCTGATATAAAGAATACTTACTCATTTGACCTATGGTTTTTAACGTTGATATAACATATTATTCACATAGCTTCAATGATTTAACCTCTTTTATTTTGATTTCAATTGATTATTTAATTCTTTTAGACTATTTCATCTGAACATTTAAATTATAACCAAGTAACTAGTACAACAACACCAACAACAACAAAATCATCAATAGCAACATCAACAACAAATACAACAATGACAACACAAATGAATTCGAATGTTTATGATTTACCTGAACCAGAATGGATTACAAAACTATTGAAACAATATTATGAATATAATATAACTCATAATAAACAAAATATTCCATGTAGTTTATTTGGTAATGAGTTATATTCACCTACAACAACAACAACAACAACAACAACAACAAATGCTACTAATGATGGTGTTGGCGGTACTGGTACCGGTACCGGTACCGGTACCAATCATGGTGCCAATAATCTTAGCTATTGTACTAATATAACAGGAATATTACCATTTGATTTTGAACAATTTTTATTTGATCAATTCGATTATGAAGAATTATGTACAGATTCAATGAATATACCTAATCAATTTACACCAAATACATTAATGTTATTTTTAATTAGTTTAGCTAATTTCACTCCATATACACGTTTATCGGATATAGCTAAATGTGCTCAATTAACATTATATCGTTTATTAACTAAATTAGTACGTTATCAAACTGATTGTTTAGTATTACAAGCTAATTTAACTGAAATTAAATTAAATGCTGATCAAATGCAATGTCAATTAAATCAAATTGAATCAAATTATTCAATTATGAATCGAGCTATACAAATATCTGAATCTGCATTAGAAATTAGTGATTGTTTAAATCAGGTAAATATATATATATGAATTTTATTTTGTTTATTTTATTTGAACACATTGATATTGGTACAAGAAAGCACTAAATACATATACTGCCCGGGTGCTCAAACCTAAGCAGGTGGTTTTCTTAGAGGGCCACACCTGGAGCCTTCGATCCACAAGGTAGTGGAGCATCGTAAGGAAATGCAGTGTCATGGTAGCCGGTGACCAACGATTGGTTCATACGTTGTTTGTCCCCTCAGGATGTGATCTATTTGTGTCCAATGTTGGGACGAATTAGGGGGTCCCCATGTTAAAAGATGTTTTTCCTTATGCTTAAAGTTAGTATTTGTAAGGAATAGGCGGTTATTTGAGCCTACCTGCAACAGACGGTCGCCATTATCTATTCTTTGAGCCACGACACTATAAGATCCACCTAGGTGTCTTTCTCTTTCGCCTAGTTTACCTACTTGAGCATTAAAGTCACCGGCCACTATTACTACATCCGAGCGCCTAGCTTTTCGGAGAAGGTCGGAAAGCTTTTTGTAAAACTCATCTTTTACATCATCTGCACTGCAGTCAGTGGGAGAATAGGCAGAGACGACGAAGAGGCAACGACGAGTGTCCCTATCTTTCCGAGTCCTTATTGTCGCGTTTAGTCGGACAGTGCACAAACGACTGTCTACTGGGATCCAGTCTAAGAGAGCTAGTTCTACCCTAGGACTCAATGCTGGAGTCCATGTGCACCATTGGTTTGGAATCTGGGTTTTCCAACACCCCTAGATGAACTCTCCATGTCCACCAATCCGGTTAAAGCGCCCGACGGACATTTGCTTTTCGTACTCTCAATTTCGTAAACAACACCTAGAGTGCGAGAGTGCAGTGAGTAGGACTTCCCTGTCAGAGGCTATATACGCGTGTCCATGTGAGAGCATTTGGAGAGGGAGAGCGGACTCTCCCCACCAAGTCATTTGGGGGCTGTATATATAAATGAATTAGTTTTAAAGAGTTTTATTATTTATTGTTTACCGATGAATTATATTTGTCGATGAATTTACAAGTTAATCTACTTATGATGAAGAGAGTTTTGTCTCCCTTTTGAAAATACATTCATACAACCATAAAATTACAGCTCATTCTAGGGGAAGTCCTTTTCATTCACTGTTCTTATATGTTATTTTTTATCTACAAGTGTTAGGAAGCTAAAGTAGACATCTAGTGATTCAACTAGATTCTTAGATATAAAGAGTTCACTGACGAGTATTGGAAAATCTTAATTTCAAGCCACTGATTCAATATCCATAAAGAACAAATGCCATAAGAATCTTTCGTAAAACTTACAACTGTACTTTGTGAAGTTACTGTCTTAATTTTCAAACTAAACCTTTAGGTTAGTAGCTCGTAAAATGGCTTCTTATGAAAAGTATATCTTAGTTTATGAATCCGGACCGTCTCTCAGATCTGATGAATGTTATGAAATCAATGAATTAGAAGGTAAAGTAAATGCTCACTGATGATATTATACGATGAATGTTCTATATCATAAATCGTTCGATGCTGAAAAAACCTGCGAACGACCCTAGATTCTAGTTTAATATTAATTGAGAGAAACAGTATTTGCACCGAAACATAATAAAAGTTCTAAATTTGATTCCTTAGTGAAGTGTCATAATGTGGCACTTTATAACTATTTGTTTTTTTTGAACCATTCTTTAATTGAAATCAGTTTCTGATGAAAGGATGTTCTAATGTATAATTACATGCGCATATAGAATTACATTGTTTTTCAATAGGGCTCATTCATGGCCCTGCCAGGAATTGGAATTTAGGCTATCAGGACTAGTAGTGAGTATTTGACCCTTAGATTACCGAGTTTTCATCCAGTAATTTGCATTATTAACTTTGCAGCATTATACCCTCTTTATCAATGGACATTGACGATATTGATCCACTTGTAGTCATGGCTTCTCACTGGAATTCTGATAGTAATCTCACAAAATCAGTTGCTTGTAACCAAGCATGCTGATTGTCTGACTACAGACAGTCAGTAATTCAATCTTACAAAATTCAACGATTTCCATAAGCCAACTAAACTGGAAAAAGAAATAATTAAATAAATCATCAGCTTAGTGATGATATTTTAACCACAAGTACACATAAATAAACATGAATTTCAACATATACAGGTATCTTTTAGCCTTCATAACTTGAAAATTATCGAACATTGATGGCCCTCTAATGGTTTGGTACGGCCGAGAATGAGAAGAGTCAGCTCTCCCTCTCCATATGCTCTCACATGGCCACGTGCATATAACCACCGACAAGGAAGTCCTACTCATTGCCTTCTCTCACCACCGGTGTTGTTTACGAGATTGAGAAAACGAAAAGCAAATGCTCGGCGCTTAAACTGGGTTGGTGGATACGGAGGATCCACCTGGGCAAGTTGGAAATCTCTGATTCCAAACCAATGGTGAGCATGTGCTTCAGGATTCTAAGGAAACAAATGGCGTATGGACCTAATGTTGGTCACCGGCTATCATGGGACTGCATCTCCTGATAAATGCTCCACTGTCTTGTTGATTAGATCTTTAGGTTGAAGGCTTGGGGTGTGGCCCCCTAAGAAAACCACCTTCTCCGGTTTGGGTGCCCGGGCAGTATCATAGCCCACACACAAATCAAATGACTTGTGTGGCGTATATGTATTTGGTGCCTCCTTGTACCAATATCTATGTGTTTAAATAAATAAATAAATAATAAATCGAACATTGAGCGAATGTTTAGAGATGGGGTCAAAGTGACCTGGTTATTTTGGGAATATAACTTTTTATTAATAATACGATATATTATAGATTTACAATAGTTAAACAGTCTTTAAAAATCAGAAAGCTTTTGTACAACCTTCCTGTCCTTGTATGGGATTCTTCAAATGTCGTTATCCATGACCTCATCAGTAGTCGGACTCAGGATTTTCACGCTCTATGGTAGATGATTAACCTTCAGACCACTAATAATATGGTTATTTACGAATCTTTACTTTTCTTTTGAACCAAAAATAAATCTGTTTGTGTTGTTTACTTATTATTATTTGATATAGTTATATTCCACGGAATTAGCTGTCACTATATTCCGTCAATCACAAAATAATCAAATGTTAAAGCATCCATTCTCAACAATATCATCGTCTACATCATCTTCATCATTTCATGGTCATAGTAAATCATCTCAATTACATCAATCACAACATCATCAACAATTGAAAAGATATAATAATTCACAACAGATTTCTGTTACCACATCACCATATCAATTGTATTCTTCAATTGGTTCTTCGGAAGAACATGATTTATTAAATAATGCAACCAATACTACCAATAATACAACTGCTGGAGTTGGACAACAACAACAGCAGATCTTTTCAATGAATCATTTCAATTTGCATAATTTGAAATCATTGAGGTAAGTGTTTGTGTTTCTGCTCTTAGCGAAGTTCCATACTATACTATATATATATGAGTGAAAATGAAATTCCAACTAGTATTCATCTGAAAAGTTAATCACCCAGTCATAATAAATTTAGAGGCCAGAATAAATGTGTATTGGCTCAATTGACCATACCATAATAGCATGATAAGGCGATATTATAAAGATGAATATCAAAGAAATTGAAATAATCACGATAGCAACGATAGTGAGAAACACTGAACATTGAGAGTATAGTTTGAAAATACTGGGCGGAAAAGTATGTAAGAACGAATACCACGGAAATCAATATTCAGAGGAAGACAATCAGTAAAACACATCAGGGCAAATGAGATTAATTTTAAGAAGTATTACCCAACGTCTACAACTATTGGTCATGATTATTGTGTGAATCTCAACTAGGTAACCTAAACCTACCAATAAGGATCAGAACAACAGTAATAGACTTCATGTATTGATATCATATTCTATTTTGTCAGCCTCCTGGCTTTCTCTTAACTTACTCTGACACCAGCTAAAATTACCCCTTGAGGTAGACAACTGTTTGACATACAATTCTGTTTTCATTACTAAGCAGATCTTTTGTGTACAATCACCATAGGTTTATAAATGAAATAATCTAAAGCAATTGAAATGTACACACTTAAATCTATGTTATTCGTGATATAGGTTCTATACAAATTTTAATGTAATAAAAATGTGTCATATTTTTCCACCGTCCAATGCTAATTTTTCAGTAATTCATTAAAGTTACGTTTACATTAAATAGTACGTCATTTATTGAGTGTGAAGATACTCGTAATCTACTAGTATTTGACCATAGATGCCTTAGAAATATTGCTTGCATCTTCTGGGATCACCGGCTAAGTAATAGTGAGGTTAGACGCAGAGTATTAGGGAATGATGGTAAAACAGTTGATAGAATTGTGAATCTTCATCGACTGAGATGGTTTGATCACGTGTTGCGTATGCCTGAACACAGATTACCACAACGTGCAATGCTAACCGGTGTAGGGAATGGTTGGACGAAAGTTAGGAGCAGCCAAACCAAAACGTGGTATCAGTGCTTGAAGTCACTAACCTCTAATCTGAGCCATGTTGTTAAATACAAACTACTTGGTTGAGATCCGCAGAACTATCGTAACCAATGGTTGGAGACTCTTGGTGACATGACTCAGAATCGATCACAATGGCGTCGCTGTATAAACTCTCTGTCTTCCCTTAAACTAAGAGATTAAAGTTACTTCATATCTTTCTTTCTACAAGCTAATTCTTTCTTCCTGTACTATATCCTTACATACAATCTTTCTTTTATATATTACCACCATTGAATTAACTACTTCTATGAATCCGGTGTTCATCTTGTTGTGTTAATGTGGTATGGCAACTTGGACCGATGCATATATGTGCCTGGTCTCACGTTGTAGCTGACTGACTGACTGAATCATCTGCACATCATCCATCAGTTGTGCCTAACAAAATTTACAGTTCCTTCACTCCTGTTATTATTATTATTATTATTATTATTATTATTATTATTATTATTATTATTATTATTATTATTATTATTATTATTAGCTTTATTCAATATTATAATTTTGGTACAATATAGAATTCTCAGCGTAAAGTATTTCAACAAGTTTCCGCTTCTTTCTTCTTGGTCGGTCCTGGCGATAAATATTGAGTGATCGCCAGTTAGATGTTAACAGTTCAGTAAATGAACTTCTGAATAATGTACATTCTTTTTGTTTTATATTGCCAGCAATCACATTGTCTCTTATTGAGTTTTTGTAACTGACAACGAAAGGTTGTACACTTCAGAAACTCAGCAGAATATTTTATGCGATTAATAAACATAATGATATATTAAAACAAACAAAAATAGATAACTTGTTGAAGTATCTAGATGTCAGGAACAGGTAGCCCAGATGCTCAAGCAGGCCGCTGTTGTTATAAGGGAGAGATATTAAAATGTATTATAGTCTCTCTTGATCATCCATATAGCATGGTGTATGCTACTGATATCGACAAATATATGTAGTGTGTATCATTAATCGAAAGTGAAATACCTGGTGGTAGAAGGTTAAGAAGATCAAAGAAAAGAGAACAGGAACAAAGAAGACTTGGTGTGGAAGCGAAAGAACATTCTGCAAAAGGAACAGTCAAGTTTGAGACAATTGATTGACATATTGCAAATGAAGTACTTACTGTGTATGGTTCTCAGATTTGACTAAAATGTTCTGTAATTTCGTGAAAATATTGATTTACCGATTGAGTTGAGGCAGGTTTACATGGTATAGTAGTAGCTTAAAAGGAGGTTAAGGTTTGATAAACCAAAACTTGACATCAGTCTATAAATTTATTGACTATTTGTTTGAATATGGTTACTGGTTAGCGTGTTTTTAGCGAGTTGGTTTTCTACGGGATGCGGTCGCTAACCCCATGCCCAAACCTCATCCTTTATCCGGGGTTGAGACCGGCTGTAGCCTCAGAGGGGCTCCAGGAGGAGTTTTGAATATGATTATTAGATACAAAATAGCTGATTGGCTTCCGATTGATTATAATGATCAATGATTGGATATGTTTTAGTGAACTTGTTAATTTCATCTCATTATGTTAATGTGGTAAGTGAATTTAGGCTAACACACATATATAGTACAATCTACTTAGATTATGATTGAATTCGACGAACTGATTTATACAATGAAAAAAAAGTTATATCAATTAGTTTGTTGATATAAATTTATAAATGAATGTATTTTCGAGTAGGGTCGTCGTTGTTGTCATGTTTTGGGGATTAATAAATCATCACTTATACCAGTGTTTGCGTTCTTACTTTCGCGTCATGGTAATTGCAGAGGTTCCTCGTTTGAAATGTAAATGATAAGCGTCTCTGACATAACAATCAGCGACGACGAGATATAACAAATAGCGTTCAATCCAGAAGACATATCAAAATTTTACAGTACTTTAGGAAATTTTGTAAACATTGAATATTGAATCTTTCTTTATAGATTGTATTCATCATAGATTGATTTCTATTAAAAATCAGGATCTGACCTGTGGTAGTGTTTTCATCGCATACTACTCATTATGAGTCTCATATTAGGATGAAACAGCTGTTCAGGCATTTTTGACTTTCAGTGATATTACAAACGAGATCAGTCTGTGATAAATACAGCAAGACTCTAATTTATGAACGAACTTTGAACGAATCTTAAGTGACCTTGACGAATATTAGTCAATCAGCAAACAGTCAGTATAGAGTAAAAATATATTATACAAAACCAAAGAAATAAAGTGGATACATTTCTTTTAAATAGTTCAAAAACTTGTCAAGGTTAGAATAAAGGTACAGAGGTTCTAAAATCGTAATGATTACAGTAGAGGAAATCATCCATATGGCTACATATTAGTCGACCTCTGGAGTCATGATAAAGTCTCAAAAACTCTTTCACCCTCGACCACATAACTTCAATATTGTTTATGTGCACTCCGGTTGTTGGGTCCAAAAAGTACCGCTTACGGATAACGACACGATGCACATAACCAAGTCTATGTAGGCATCTTTACTCTCTTCAAATCATCCGTATATATTGTAGTACCCGGCTACAGCCAGTGTTACTGGTGCTTTTATTATCGAACAATTGTCATGATTTGACTTAATGTCAATCTGGATCATGCGAAAAAATTTTATTCTAGCAGACTTCTTCCTCCAAAACATATTACATCGAAAGACAACATCATCATTTAATTACCAGAATCAAAAATAAAGGAACATCTTAGTAACCCGACGTTGTCTCAAAATCCACTGTGAACCAGTCGTACATGAGCATCAGATACTGAAATTGGCGCTATGACTTTGAAATCCCTAGAACGCTTCTGATTGTCTCGTCCATAAATTATAGTCTCACCATAAATACCACCTATAAATCAAAATAATCTTTTTGATTGAGATCATGAACCGATTGATGTTAGACTATCATTGAAAACCTGGAAGCACTGGACGGCCGTTTCGTCCTATTATTATCGTGACCAGTGGAGCTAATCCGTGTCGGGTAGAAACAGGGTGTCTAACTCAGTACAATGGAAGATGGTCGCGCAACTTCGTGGATTTGTTAAGGTTAGACATTAACACCACTGGATGCCGGCTCAGTGGTCCAGTAGGCTAAGCGTTCACGCGCAAGACTGAAGGTCATGTGTTCGAATCCCCTCAGCGGGATCGTGGATGCGCACTACTGAGGAGTCCTACAATAGGACAAAACGGCCGTCCACTGCTTCCAAGTTTTCAATAGTGGTCTAACCTCAATCGATTCATGATCTCAATCAAAAACTTCACAATCTCCACAACTCCTAAACTGAAAATTAATCTTTACTAAATCTTTTCAATTATAAACTTAATTTGTAATTATTTTTTTTAGACAACAAGTTGAATTTCTAGCTTATACCATATTAGATAAATATGAAACATCAGATGGTGGTTATGAAAAAATTCTCCCAACATCTTTATCTAATTTAACAAATATCAATATGACAACAACTTCAGTTAATGGTAATATACCTACTGTAAATAGTACTAATTTATCTCAATTACATTGTTATCAACATATTCAACATTCTTCTCAATCACCTATAAGTCCTGGTCTTTGTTCTATACAATCTGTGATTACATCATCTAATAGTTTGTTAGATAATAGTAATACTACTAATAACAATAATAGTAATAGTGTTTATGCCAATTCATGGTATGTTAGTTTAAATCGAAACAAATTAAATACGATACAATGTTTACCAAATGAAATGAATGAACATTTACATGGACAACAATCATTAATGAATCCTAATCAATTACCTTCTATATCATTGAATTCAACAATTGGTTCCAATCCATCAATAACTTATCAACAACGACAATATAATCATGTACGTTTAAATAATAATTTACAATTAATGAATCCTCAATTACGTTCATTTATGAAATCAAATTGTCAAGGAAATACAAATCAAAATATAAATGAAAATGGTTTAAATGGAAGTGGTGATGGTTTTGGTTGGGAAACTCCAGATTCCGGTGCTGGAAGTAGTAGTATCAATGAAATATCATCACAACATCATCCTCAACAACACCAACGACAACAATCTGGTTATTTATTGAATCCATCATCATTATTCTTATCTTCTTCAACATCATCTTTATTATTTGGACATTATTATCAAACTTATGGTGAAATCATTCAAAATAATACTACTAATAAAGTAAATAATCAATCAGATTTATTCATATTCAATACATTATTAGATAATCTTCCACCATTATGGACATTATTTACAAAAACATCAACATCTTTTTATGAATCCGATTTAGATTCATCAGATTCATCTGATATACCAGGAAATATTATTAAAACTACTGATTTATCAAAACATAGTACCCATCCTCCTCCTCCTCCTCCTCCTCTTCCTCCACATCATCATCATCAACAACAACAACAACATCATAGTAGTATGAATGGTCAGTTAATATCTCAACTACCTCCTATTTCATCATCACAACAATTATCTAATTGGTCTAGATTAGAAGAACGTAAACTACGTACAATTTATTATCAATTAATTCATACATATAAACGTTTACAATCTATGTTAATTGATATGCCTAATACATATCAATTGGTTATACCAAATGATAGAAATGAAATTGGAGAGAAGACAAAAACTACAAATGATGTCATTGATCATGATCAAAATATATCAACAACAAGATTTGTATCAGTTGGTTCAACACAGCAACAGATGAATTTGGATCAACAAAATGTAAGTGAATAAGGGTTTTTTTGGATATTATAGTAGTTTCAATAGTTGAGATCATGAGTCAATTGAAACTAGACCACTATGGAAAACCTGAAGCACTGAATGGCTGTTTCATCCTATTGTGGGACACCTCATCAGTGAGAATGTAAAATACTACTTAAGGAAATGACAAGTAGTGTTAAGTGTCTTAACCATTTCCTTTATTTGTGATAGATAATGAATAGTTTGTAATAGGCCACCAAGTGCCCCGGTACGGCTGACGGTATGGAAAGTTAGCTCTTCCTTTGGAAATACTCTCATATGTCCATACATATACAGCCACTGACAGAGCAGTCCGAATCACTGCCATCTCGCACCACGGGTCTTGTTGACGAAATTGATAGGATGAAGAGCGAATATCCGGCTCTTTACCCGGGTTGGAGGTCACGGAGGATCTACCTAGATGAGTTGGGAAACCCTGATTCCAAACCAATGGTGCACATGGGCTCCAGTATCCTGAAGGAACAAATGGCGTACGAACCCAATGTTGGTCACTGGCTACTATAGGACTGCATCTCCTAACGTTCCCCCACTGCCTTGTAGATCAGACCATTAAGTCAAAGGCTCTGGGTGTGGTCTCCTAAGAAAACCACCTGCTTCGGTTCGGGCACCCAGGCAGTATCACAACCCTCACACAAATCAAGTGACTTGTGTGGCGCATATGTATTCGGTGCCGCTTTGTACAAATATTTTTGTGTTCAAGCACTCCCCACTCCGGCCGTATTAAGACTTTGGGCGGCTCTTTAAGGAATAAATGACGATTGCATAATCTGACGAATCGACTAAAACGTTGGAAGTGCAAATCATTGGATACTAATTTAATGGTTTAAAGGTAACGCGATTAATGTGAGGCCTATAAGCCCTGGGTTCAACTTTGGGATAGGATTAACCATTTGTTTACAGTACCCATTTACCAAGTACAAATTTACGCACTTAATCTTTTAAAACATTGTTTATATGATGGCTATTGATAATACTAGTCCCTTAAAAATGAATTAGATGGAAAGTGACTTGAATCTACCACCTAGTAGTTGAAAATCGAGTCATCACATTCAACACACTACTTTGGATTTTCATTTTATGGCGAAACTATTGTCCAGTTCTCCCGCATTCTCAACGTCTTTTTCTTGTAATTTTAACAGTGAAGTTCACCAGTCGATCTAAGCTAGACCACTGTTGAAAATCTGTGAGCACTGAACGGTCGTTTCATCCTAGTATAGGACTCTTTAACAGTGCACATCCACTACTCGAGCCCAGGACCTTCGGCTTCGCGAGCGAACGCTTAACCTCTAAACCACTGATTTGACGTCCAACGGTGTTAATGTCTAACTTCAATCGACTCATCATCTTATGTCTAATATAGAGTATAAATTTAAGGTGCATGATTATAAAATGATTTTATGTAAACTGTGTACTCATACAATGGTCTTGAATGTTGTTAAAGGCATGAGGGCGGTTATCACTTCCTGGTCGCTCACACCTTGGAAGGGTTCTTGTGGAGGTACCTGGAAAGGAAATTGGATTAGAGATGGTTTTAGTGACCTGAGAGCGTGACCACAGTGCCCAAGGGACAAGTGCTTGAGGTCGGTCACACACGACCTTTTTGTGAGTAGTTTTCGTGTTGGCTCCATACCTGTTGAAACCTTACCGCCGGGGACGGATATCCGTGGGATAAGGCGAGGTGTACATTTTTAGGTCGACATTTTCTAACCCCACCTCTTCTTGTGGGAAGGCATCATCGCTGTTATGCTGGTTGTTTGAAGGAAACACCTTACTGCCACCACATCTCTGTACAGTCAGCAGTACGACTTTACTTTCGGACCTTGGGTTTGTTGGCTCTTCAACCGACCTGTCTGACATGGTAGAACCTTGAGGAAGGTATGTTCCATCCAGTATAGCTCAGTTGCTTCATCACGATAGACAAGCCCAACTACCACGTCAAGGTAGCAACAACGGTGTGAATGCAATTGTTATAACATTCTATCGTAATATCTTTCGATTAACTTTCCTATTTTCTGCATAGAAATTAAATTCTATTTTCATTTATTTTTATATTAATTAACTATTTTCAAATGTAATCACTTTATATTGTATAATGTATACACAATAAATCATCTTGGCGCTTTAAATTATTCCTTATCTAACTTTACACATGTACATTATAACATAAACAATGAATAGGCAACTATAGATTACTATTGATTCTCTATGATAATATTTACTTTTAATATGATTGTATTAATAGTTTATACAGGGGAGCAGATGGTTACAGTCATATTGCTATATGTAGAAATATACATAGAGATACCTATAATACACTAGTACACAATACAATTGTATACTTATAACATGAAACTTGAATGAACAGCAGGTGGTTCTCTTTATTCTATTTTAAGTTTCTAATCCCTATTACTAAGTGAAATGTATTTCAACTGTTTTCATCTTCACATCTATACACATACAATAACATATGTAAATGAAGCCGGTAGTAACATGATTATTCGTTCTTTGCCTATACTACTAATAATATACTATCTTTGTTCATTCATAGTAAATATATATAGTGTACATTAGTAATGAAAATATACATTAAGGATCTTTTCTTTTTTCTTCATAAATTCTTAACCTTTATCAACAAGTGTATGAATAATGAATAAATAGGTCTGACATCACTTCAGGTCAAGGTTGTTTGTATTTATCAAACTGATTTATGAAACATGAGTGTGTGTGTGTGTGTATCTGTGTAGACTTTTTCTAAGGGTAAACAATATAAAGGGAGTGAATGTAATCAGAAAAAGAACACAAGCTATCGGTTGGTTAAAAAAAAATAATTTTAATAGTTGAAATCATAAGTCAATTGAAGCTAGACCACCTGGAAGCACTGAACGACCGTTTCTTCCTGGTATGGGACTCATCAGCAGTGCGCATCCACGATCCCACCTCGCAAGATCAGTCTCGCGCGCGAGCGCTTAACCATTAGACCACTGAGCCGGCATCGAACAATGTTAATGTGTAACTTCAACCAATCCACGTAACTGTGCCACCATCACCATTGTCTTCATTGAGTTGATATCTCACAACAGACTTGGTTGAACTCCACTGGTCACATCTTCCCACTAGAACTCCAGGAGTGTCTGTTGAAGTCATTCACTAGTGAACAGATGATTATTATCAGAATAGGTTTTGTGGAGATACCAGTTTTTCCATAATGGTCTAGCTTCAATTGACTCATGATTTCAACTATTTAAATTAATAAATTCTCCACAAAACCCCTTCTGATAAAAAAAATATAACACAACTAATAAATTTAAATGCTTTAAGCCAATGGCCTTTTCTATGCAAAGAAATTAGTAAACTGATGTTAGTACTTGACAACAGTTTCACCCTCCTATATAAGTATAGACTAAGATATATCCTGAACTCTCAGGATGAAGTAAATGGTTTTTTTTTAAAAAAGATGAAATCTTCTAAAGTTCTAATCCACAAAACAATGAAGTGATAGTCGGTAACTTAAACAGATTCATGCATCACCCATTTCTATAGGGTCGTGGAGTTCTGTACAACAATAGTTTTCTAATTCTTCTAATTGGTTCCTTTGTATTCACAAATGGAGTATCAGAACTGGTAGCTCACTTTTCATCCATTCAATTTCGAAAATATATCTCAGCTTGAAAGCAATGAGTAGAATTTCACTAGAATATAGTTTCTAACTCGAACATCTGAGAAATTCATCGTTAATTATAAGATGATAACTTTCGTGATAAAATGATACTACTTAAATCTATCAATATGATCATTGTTGAATAGTTTTAACCTAAGATAAAACTGACATTCGATGCATTTTAGCTTTCAATGTTTTCTTCAATCGAAGTTAATTTATGAAATAAACTTACTTCAAATGGAATAAAATCTCAATTCTTTATCCAAATAATAATTCAACATCTTTTATAGAATCGATCGTTTATGACTAGTATTAAAATCTAAGACTCTCTTTTCACTCTATTTGAGATTCCTCAGCTAGATATATTTGGACAATTTACTGATTTGAACAAATAAATATTGTTACAAAAGGGCACCGAATACATATGTTCCATACAAGTCACTTGATTTGTGTGTGGGCTGTAATACTGCCCGGGTGCCCAAACTGAAGCAAGCGGTTTTCTTAAGAGGACACACCCAGAACCTTTGATCCTAAGGTCTGATCCACAAGGGAGTGGAGGAACGTCAGGAGATGCAATTCTATGGTAGCAGGTGAACAATAATGGGTTCATACGCTATTTGTTTCCTTAGGATCCTGGAGCCCATGTGTACCGTTGGTTTGGAATAAGAGTTTTCCGACTCATCTAGGTAGATCATCCGTGTCCGCTAATCCGATTGTTGTGCTTGCTACTTATATTGACATAAGTAGTGTAATGCCTGGCAGCAGAAGATTGGGAAGATCAAGAAAGGAAGAACGGGAATAAAAAGCAATTAGTATAGAAATCCAAGAACAATGAAGTCTGAGGCAATTATTGAACATTTTGCAAATGAGGTATTATAGTATGGTTTTTCTATTTTACCAAGTAACTGTAATGTTCCAGTTATCCTCACCTGTGTTCTCCTTCACTAAGTTTGGCTCCACTAAGGACGGAGATTCCATGGCCGAAGGAATACGAGGACGGAGATGTGGTGGGCATCCTGAAGGAGTTTGAGCCCGTGGCGAAGCTGGTGGTAGTGAAGGAGCCGAAGGCGAAGATGGTGGTGCTGGGAACGCTGCTAAGAGGCAGGGCAAAGGCTGTGTATGACAGCTTGGACGTTGCTGGCGGAAAGACGATATGAGGGACTGTCACGCAGCGGTTGATGGCGAAGCTCGACAGCCCAGCGGACAGGGAGGAGGCACTACAGAAGTTCCGTTTGGCGGGGTTGTCGGTCGGTGGTGACCCCCCGGTGCTGGCTGTAGAGCTTACCAGGTTGTTGCGCCATGC